CTGGTGAAGGCAGAAACATTCACACCAGTTCCTATATCCCTTCTTAACCACTTGACAGGGATCACACAAACACCCCTTTTCTAGGAGCTATTTCCGTCAGGCTTGAATGGGGATCCTTCTTGATTCCCTCACTCTTTTCATCTTCCTTCCCAGTCAACTGTCAGTTCTTAACTGCTGCTAGTTCAATCTGACACTCTCAACTGTGGGATTCTGTTTGTATCCCCTGTCGCTCAAGCTTCTCAGAGTGGGTTAAAGCATTAACTATTTACTGTCCATCACAAGAGGAGAGGAAGAACTCCTCATCTGCCTCCTCCCAAGCCCTGTTAAAGTTTTTCCCTGTCTATTATGAGGAAGGTAACACCCCCCTTTTGTGAGAAACAAGGCTTGCTTGCCAGCACCTTTTGGATCTGCCTTTCTAAGAACCCCTCAAAGCCACCAATCAGGCAGGCAGAAGCTCTTTAAAAGACAGACTTCCATGGTGACCTTTCATTTACCCTGTTGCCACTCCCAGTTGTGGCTGAGGAGACTCCTGCCTCTTGACAACAGTGAGCAAATGGACAATCTAAGCAAGACTAAATGTATTTGTTATGGAAAACACTTTTGATTACTTTTTGTTTCCCCAGTGGTGGAAAGATAGGCATAAACCACCTGCTTGTGTGCATTCATGCTGACTTTGATGCAGGCTACATTCAGGGCTAGGTAAAGTTGCCTGTTTACTTTGTCCCATACTGGGGACAGAACAGGTGTTGAAGTTAATTCTCATTCTTAGTCCTAGACTTTTATGAAACTGCATAAAAGGGCAAAATGAGCTCCCTACCTGCAGCCACATTATTTTGCCCCCACAGCTTCTTCTCTATAATTTATTGTTCCTACCACAGATACATTCCTTATAAAATATAAAAATATAGAATATGAGTACTCTGAGTAAAAATCTTAAAATAAAAATTGCAAAAGGATTATGCAAAATACTATCTTTAATGTATCCTTTCATTACATTGTTAAGATCCAAAGTATAAAACATAAAACCTTACATTTGAACAGAAATATATACCAGAGAACTTGGAAAATGCAAATTAATTAAAAGCCAAGCAAATTATTGCTTTCTGTATATCAGGACTCTCATACCTGCCAGATATCCCCATCAGAAGAAAAAAAAAATCCATCATCATTAATAAAGATGGGCACAATACAGTGGGGATAGTGGGCAGGGAGAGAGTCAGGGATCACTAGACAACATTTCAGAGTTCCAGCAACATGCCACAGCCACGTATACCACTGAACTTCGAACTTCAACCAAATATATCATCCATTCTCATCAGTGGAGCAGACAGACATTGTTACAGACATTTATAAAACATGATTTTTTATGTATTAAGAAGTGTCTTCATGTGAAGAGCCATATATTGCATTTTTTGGTCCAGAGTTCTATCACTGAGTTGCAATGACCTTTAAAATATTTGCCCACATTGGTAATATAAAGATGTAGCAAAATTTTAGAAGCTAGACTTGTAGCTTTTATAAAAGATGTTCTTTTTCAACCAAAGGAAGCCTGCCCCCCTAATTTTGCCAGCATTTCATTAATATGACAACAGAACAGTTATCAAACGAATTTTTAAAATCCATTGTCTCTGAATGAATCATGTGTCAGAGAAGAATGTAGGAAGTATGAATAGCTATATTATTCACTTGTGACTATTATGGCTATCCAAATCATAAAGCACTTGAGACACAATTTCTCAGTTATTCTAGTACTGGGGTTCTTAATGGGGCCACATAGACCCCCCCCCCCAAGGATGATCTATAAATCTTTGAGGAGCATTCGGAACTGTTTGAGGGCAATGGGAGTGTACTCCGTTTTAAGCAGTATCTCCTCCCTGCTGCACTGGCTTCTGAATCCAACAGAGACGACTTGTTTTATACTGCTTTGCACTTGTTTAATGCCCCCACCCCCACCCCGATAAAATCCCAACTCCTAGATTTCTAATACAGGCTCTTTAAAAAGTGGCACACAGCAAACAGAAATCCAACTTAATATTAAGGAGTTGTCCGCTCGCCATCAGGCACAAGGGTCTCATTAAATGTATACCTGGGATCTGTGTATCATATGCAAATATCATAACGATATGAGTAGAGTTGTGTGGAGTGCTTTTTTATGTTGTAATTTGTACTTTTGGCTTAGGGAGCATTTGATTACAGTGTTGCATACTTTGTGGGGCAGCTGTAGATTAAAGGTTAAGAACCATTGTTTTAGTACATCTCCAAAGTATAAATATATTGTAGAAGAGTTATTCTGGATTTAGGCTAGTGAGAATCTGCAACCAGCATCTAGATAATCAGAAATAAATCTCAGAAGACAAGCAAACAAAAATTGCCCACATGACTCAGTGCAACATCTTCAGGCTCATGCAGACACTGCTTCGCATAGTCCAGTACACATTTAAAGGCACATATTGAACAATTAAAAGAAAAGAAAGAAAAACCTAACTATAACCAATGTTGCTATTTTTTCTGTTTTCCTAATTCTGGATTTTGGATCTTTTTTTTAAAAAAATCACATCATCTATGGACAAGTGTACATAATCATTACTATGACTCTCATGATCAATTTATGCAGATAAGCATTTTTTTTCTAAAAGACCAACTGTCTGAAAAGACTGAGGAAGCTATGACTTTTCGTACCTTGTTGCATCATTTATGGCTGTCTCTGCTGTCTTAAGAATCACATAATATTTATTTCAACAAATAAAGCTTTAGCCCTTAATTTTTTTCTCAGGAAGTGTTGACATTTAGGGCTTATACCCATGACTATTTCGTTTCCTAGTTCACAGAGGCATATTTGAAAATGTCATGCAATGCAGAACAAGAAGAGGGATCATTGTGTGAAGTGCTTAACACACCTGTGTAAGTGGCTGCACGTTATCTTTCTTTGTAAAAAAATCTCCTTTACTAAAACCCGTCCTTAAAGACCTTCATATTATATCCAGTTGGAAGACAAACTTGAATTGTACCCCTAAAGATACTAAGGCCATCATAACAGCATATGAAAAACAAATTCTTGGTGAATACTGCTTAACCTTTTGTACGCAAAAATTAGGGTTTTCTCTGTGTACCTGAATTCCACCATTACTGCCAGTTTGCTTCAAATAAGTCTGAAAATTCTCAACTGTGTTTCAGTTTCAAAAATACCTAAATATTGATTGTATCTATTTTCCAAATAAAGAAACAGAAGAATAGGTTTTTTTAAAAGGGGCTAAGCTTTTTTTTTTTTTTGCTGTGAAAAAATGCACATTTTCAAATTATGCAACAATCTGCATTAGGCAGAGCAGCGGAAAAGCTGGTTCAGTAAAATATACCATATTAATGATTTTGTGTTTCTTAATCGTTGAGGCCAAATAGTATGTGTTGTTTCTGCAGTTGCCAATGAATAGAGGTGCAAATCTGTTCGCCCTAGAAACAACGCACAACAGGATGAAAGTCTCTTCACAATGTCTTATGCCACAGGCCTGAGATCAGTTTTTTGTTTGAACGGTGATACTCTGGTATTTGGGGCAAAACTCTATGGTTAGCAAAGAGTTTTGCCCAAAATGCTAGACCATTACTGCATGGTACCCCCAGTGTGATGATGTCACGTTTGTGCGACATCATGCCAGTAACGTCGATGCATGACGTTGCTGTTCAAGGGTGGGGCTTCCTCTGCCAGCCAACTGGCTGGTGGTGGGCTGGAGCTCGGGAAATCAGAGGAACCCCCACCCGTACCAGGAGTCTGGCAACTCTACTTCCAGATAATTTGTATTCCTTCCCACAAGAGCATCATCTTTCAGAGGCAGTCAGATGGCACAGGGATTCTTGTGGCACCATTCAGAAAGTTATCTCTGTGTGGTGGGTCTCCCCACCAAAACTTATTGTGGGTAGGGTTGCCAACCTCCAGGTGGGGTCTGGAGATCTCCCAAAATTACAGCTGATTTCTACATGGCAGAGATTGGTTCCCATGGAGAAAATGGCTGCTTTGAGGGTGGGCTCTGTGGCATTATACACCACTGATGTCCTGTCCCTCACTAACACCACTCTCCCCAGCCTCCACCCCAAAATCACCAGGATTTTTCCAACCCGGAGTTGGCAACCCTAAAAGGTTGATCCACTAACTAAGTATCTGCTTCCCTTTACACATTAACACTTCTCTCCAGCAAAAGCACCAGCAGTTGCCTTTATTTCTTAAGCAACTGTGAAGATTGTTGAGTGTTAGTAATTATGTTGACAACAGACTTTGATGTCTCTGATTACACAGAAACACTTAAAGCTTGTACTCTTTAAGGTGATGTTATAAAACAGAGTCCCCTGGACTGCTGTCCCATTCGCGTCCCTGAATATTTCTTTATATAATATTACATTTATTTAATTTTTTTCTTTTTATCGTATTTAAAAAACAAACCCTCCCCTAGTCTATTCCCATCTATTCTGCAGCTCCTGCTGACCCCCCTTCATCAGGGTTTTTCCCATCATTCTTGATCATTCGCACAATGCGTGTCAGGTCCAGACTACGGGTGAGGGGGCTCTGTGGCATTATACACCACTGATGTCCTGTCCCTCACTAACACCACTCTCCCCAGCCTCCACCGGAAAATCACCAGGATTTTTCCAACCCGGAGTTGGCAACCCTAAAAGGTTGATCCGCTAACTAAGTATCTGCTTCCCTTTACACATTAACACTTCTCTCCAGCAAAAGCACCAGCAGTTGCCTTTATTTCTTAAGCAACTGTGAAGATTGTTGAGTGTTAGTAATTATGTTGACAACAGACTTAGATGTCTCTGATTACACAGAAACACTTAAAGCTTGTACTCTTTAAGGTGATGTTATAAAACAGAGTCCCCTGGACTGCTGTCCCATTCGCGTCCCTGAATATTTCTTTATATAATATTACATTTATTTAATTTTTTTCTTTTTCCTTTTTTTAAAAAAAAATCGTATTTAAAAAACAAACCCTCCCCTAGTCTATTCCCATCTATTCTGCAGCTCCTGCTGACCCCCCTTCATCAGGGTTTTTCCCATCATTCTTGATCATTCGCACAATGCGTGTCAGGTCCAGACTACGGGTGAGGATATCAAGTAGAAGCTCATCTTTCTGGACACCCGTCATGAACTCCTCCAGAGACAGCTCACCTATAGAAAAAGAAACAAAACGGTCCATTTCATGTACAGCCTGAAGTAATAAATGGGATTTGATCTGCTGAGTAATGCAGGCATAGAAATCCACCCAACTATTTCTGCATTGCCACCATTTCTGCCCTCAGTCTTTTTAAAAAATATGTACACACTTTGGTTTCACTTGTAAAGAAAAGAGAACTTACCAGTTCCTTAAATAGGCTATCACAATAGTTAATCAGCCTAACATTTAGGGATCCTTACCATTTCTAACTTGAATCAATTTTATTTACATTCACTGAGATCCAGCACAGTTTAGTGAACAACTTCAGCTCCATTGGAGACATTAGTCCAGTTATCCCCCCCCCCCCTCACACAGCCAGCCTAGCCTACCTCATTGGATTTCTGTGCCTGCATTGCTCAGCAGCCTAGGCCGAGAGGGCGGGGGGGAAAACCAATAAATAAAAAATGTATTAATTAAACCCACCAGTCTTTTCACTGACCTGCTCTACATATAATTTATCTTCGCATCCGATACCATAAGAACATAAGAGATGCCAATGTTGGATCAGGCCAAAGGCCCATCCAGTCCAACACTCTGTATCACACAGTGGCCAGAAATACCAGTGCCATCAGGAGGTCCACCAGTGGGGCCAGGACACCAGAAGCCATCCCACTGTTGACCCCCCCCAAGCACCAAGATGACAGAGCATCACTTGCCCCAGAGCCCCTTCTTGTGCTGCATTTCCCTCAAACACACTCATATCAATTTGCAATCTTCACAAAGGACTCCTATAATGGCCCACTGGTAGGTTCTATCCAATCTACTTGGGTCCGCTAATTTAATAAAGCACCTCAGAATGCATCGAAAGATTCTTACCATCTCCATTGATATCAATTTTATCAAACACCATGTTTGTGAAATCTTCAGCTGACATTATTTCTTGACATGGATTAATGGTGCGAATTGCCTGTAGGAAATGTGAGATAGAAAACATCTAATGAGCACCAGATTCAGATTTATGTATTTGACAACAATAGCCAAGTAACATTTTTTTTCAACCTTAAATAAGCACATTTTGATGGGAAGGCCTAGATTCCCCAATGAGAATTATAAACTCACAAGGGGTGGAACCGTGATACTCGCGGAAGGGAGGCAGAGGAAGCAGCAGGAGGGAGTAAGTACCCCCCATCCCGCTGTTTCCCCGTGTCCTCCACCCCCCTTGCCTCTCCCCCCCGTGCACGGCTCCGTAGCAAGGCCTCGGGAGGCTGCAGCCGCCCGGGCCTCCCTGTTCC